AGCGACAAGTTGTTCACTATCAATAATCCCGGCATTAAGAATGCACATTCTTCACATTTGCATATCAAATTGGCGCACACTGTACTGTTATCAGGATGGGCAACGCATGACTGCTGCGTTCGCTGCAACTGGTGACTACCTTCCGCAAGCTTCCAAAACAAACGCCGCGCCGACTCTCAGTTCATGGTGAGTTCTCTAGATATATGCAGTGTTGGAGGAATTAAGTTCGCTTTCTCACAAGAATTCGTGTATAGAAACCAGTAAGAAATTTCCCAAAATTCTCAACCCACGTAGTTGACCATGTGTATATTTTCCCACATTGCGTATATGATCGTATCTCAGGAGCGTCCCATTAGGAAGACAATTCCGTTCATTACGACTTTGGTGTGTTTTACAATATTATGGTATACATAAATTAAAGAGGTCTATACAGGATAGGTTGACCTCGACGATTTCCGTCAGGGACTCACTTGTGGCTAACGAACATTTGAAGGTGACATTTCGTTATTGATCATGTGAGTTTGGCATTCACTGTAGCATTTCTGATGCAATCTGATGTTTTGCGGGAAATTTTGGTAATTCTTTTATTTTTTGTGGGAAAAAGATGCGCTTTATTGTGTAGTTTTAGTGCATTGCTCAAAGTTTTGATGAAATAGTCTGATCGTCTTTGGAAAGGTACCGACTTCTATTAGCGACGTTCGCTTTGTAGACAGATCTGCATTGACCCTCACTGACACAGTTGTTAAAAAAAAGGAAAAATATGCATTTTGTTCCTCAAAAATTCTTGAAAATTTGAATGAAGCTTCAAACAGGCCTGTAGGTTTTCCACAAGCATATTCGGAGTAACCGGCTACGATAAGTTTGCAGACTTCGGGTCCACGATCTTGCTAATGTCGTGGAAATCCAATATAATTGTCAATTTGATATGATGCAAATGTGTGTTATTTTCCGAGATTAATAAGAATCGATCTGAAACTATATCGCATAAACAATGTAAACAATGTGAACATTGCTATGAACATGTGATGTGATAAAAGTAACCTTTCGAGACTATGATAGCGACAAGTTGTTCATTATCATTAATCCCAGAATAGAAAACACACATTCTTCACATTTGCATATCAAATTGGCACACAATGTACGATTCTTAGTGTTCTGTTGCGCATTTCAGGAGCGCATACAGCTACCGATTACGTCATCACGTTTTGGATTTTTATGTTTTGTATGCGAAAATGCTATACCCGGAACCGTCGTAGAACTCCTTCACCGACAAGGAATCATTGTGTAAGCTGCCGATATAGTGTTGGAGGAAAATATGTTCGCTCTCCTCGGCTGCGCTCACTAGTTTTCTCATTAGTTATTGAAGTTTAGAAATGTGCAGAAACCAAGAAAATTCCCTCAGAATTTCCATATTGTCATTAATACACGTAATCGACAATGTGCATATTTCCCCACATTTTCAGACGATCTGTGGGAGAAAGAAATGACCATCGTGTGTATCAAGCATTCGGGCGTGGAACTACAGCGTGGTCGCATCCCGACGAGCTAGGGTAAGTCCAGGGTTGAGATATATGTTCACTTTCCTCAGCTGAGATCAAGAGTTTCCTTTACATACGAATTCGGATAAAAGTGTGCAGAAATCGAAAATAATTTCAACACAATTTTCATATTGTCATCAACATATGTAGTTAATCTTGTGCATATTTTACCGCACTGAATATGTTTCCTCAAGGAGCGTATACTGTCACTTCACGCGTTTCATGTGCGTTGGTCGGGTAAATTACAAAATCCAAGGAAGGACGACAAAATCCGAGGAGGTTTGTCGCTCGCTCTCAGCAGTTCGGGTTTCTGGTTGCTTTGATAACAGCGTGCATCCGTTTATTTTCTCTACGAATACACCAGTTGAGATCTCAAGACACATACCATACGGAGTAGCTCATGTATCCTCCAGAGAATATGAAAATACTCTCATCCCTGACGCTGTGTTTTGTGCGCCGTAACTGTTAGTAAGTGGAAACTGCTCGAAAAGAGCATGTGCCGAGAATTGAACTCGCGAACGTTAGAAACAATCCAAGCTTCGTTCATTCGTGTGGAAGGCCTAGTTAAAGTGATCTTTTTTCCAGGCGCGAGGGCTTCCGGACATCCTGGGAAACGAACTGGCGCGATACGATGGACTTGATAGTGCGGTGAGTTTCTTGTTTTTTATACTGTTGTTGCTACAGCTCTCAGATATTTGGAATCAGTGGGAGAACGGCCCGTTAGAGATCCTGAATTGAAACCGGGGAGTTCGGCTGAGCATCTCGAGAATAATGGTAGGCTCTTTCGCTGGTTGAATACAAAATATGTAGGTGCGTTGGTAACGAAGTGAAAATTCAGAAAAAAATTTTGTTGGTTTCTTGACACTTCTACTCGAATTCGTGTGTGAACTCCTATACGAACACTATGAATATCACAGCTAGGTGTATTACCAGAAGAAGGCCGATCGTGGGTGGCCATATTGTCGGACATGGAGAAATTGGTGATACCTGGAATGTGTCACTGGCAACACTCGAAGTTCCTCGCATTCTTTCCATCTAAGACAAGTAAGTGTGAATGCTTGTGAACTTACTGGTGTTGAACTATGTATTTTTCTCAGCTGAGTTTGGCAGTTTTCTCAATACGACGGACGAATTCGAGTAGAAGTGCACAGAAACTAACAGGAATTTCCCAAAATTTCCTCTCAGAATTTTTATATTATTATCGACACATGTAGTTGATCATGTGCATATTCTCCCACATTGCTCTATACGACTCGGATGACCATTCACAACAGAATCATTCTTTTCAGAAATTAGTGAAAAATTTTTTAGATGTTGTATGTGTTTAACTACCATATAGTGTGTTCGATTTTGATAGTTCGAAACGAGAAAATGTTGTAACTAATTCGACGATTAGGAATCTGAAAATCGAAAAAATTGTACAGTGTGAACCAAACTGTTATGCAAAGTAATAATTCCAACACCGTCTATTTTCGAGAGTTCGAAAGTCGACTTTGAGTGATATCAACATGCTAACAGCGTGAATCGATTGGCACCAAGTGTTCTGTAGTCTATATTCGTACTCTCGAATTGAGGAAAGCCAGCTCGAAAATCTAGATATGCATAACTGCTTGACTGCAGGTACTCCTGTGATTCTCATGGAGCCTATCGTGACGGCTCTTGGGGGTGTTGGTAATCGAGTACTTGCCGAACATAGTGAGGTATGTGTCTCCAGTAAGATGCGGAAAAAATAGTTCATTGTAGATTGAAAACGAATTGGAAATTTCTACTATGGACGCTCTTGCGAAGGGATTGCAACTGGGAGAAGCTTTCATGCATTCTTCGGGAGAGGGCGGCGGCATCGTGAGTAAATTTGATATGAAATTTTTGCTATTTTCCGAGATGGATAAATATCGAACAATATCCCAGAACGCGCTCTGTGACAATCATTGCCAGTCGAACGCGTGCGCATCTTCTTGACACAATGACCATCTACGTGCACTCGTCATTTATCATCTCGAATCGGGAGTCAGAATTGAGTCTAGTTATTCCCAATGGATTCTTATATCTATCACCTAAAAACCCACTCACAATTTGCATAAAGCGCGCGCCCAGTAAGTAGTACATGTAGTTGAATATGGTGTGTTGAACGAGTTAACGAACAGATACAAAACACGGCGAGCGATGCACTTGTCGTAGTGATAGCAGCAGCGAAAACGAGAATGAAAATGAAGGTAACTCTGATGCCTCTCACTTGTTCGAAAATGGAATTCAGTCCTGGAGGAGTATATGTCTACATTTTCTTAGCTGAGCCCAGGAGTTTCCTTTACAATTATACAAATCGACGAACGAATTCTCGTAGAAGTGTACAGAAGCCAACAAGAATTTCATAAATGTTCTTCAGAATTTTCATATTGTCACCGATTTTTGCCTGAATTTCCTCGAAATTTTCATATCGTCAACTATTTTTCAAAGTGTCCCCCAGAATTTTGACATTTTCACCGACACATGTAGTTGATCTGATCTGCTGGATCATGCGCATATTCTACCATTTGTTGGAATTTGTCATGGTACTCGGGAGAGTTACTAAACATAGGGCTCAACACGTGAGAGAAGATATTCCAAGACACTTGCATTTTATGCTGCAATGGTTTCGTTACGATGAGCATCATCAGAGGTGTATACAAGCCGTCCTTCAAGCTCATAAAAAACTGCATCCATTTCTCATATACTGTCGATGATACCTAACCCTTATCATTTCACTTTTACGCAGATGTTGGCGAAAACAAGCGTGGAACATGAACAGTTCGGAGCGGTGAGCAAACTGCGTTTTGTCGTGTAGGTGATTTCGTTTTAACTCCTTGAGTAGTGAAGAAATCCTCAACAGATACACATCGGATCAAACACATTTCTGTACGGAAAAAGCGTGCCGGGCGGCTGGAGTTCGTTTACGGAAGGTAAGTGGTCAGTGTTGGAGGAATATACGTTCGCTCTCCTCAGCTGATCTCAGGAGTTTACATTGAAACTGGGGTAGAAGTATACAGAAACCAAGTTCCCAGAATTCTCTCAGAAGTTGCTCATTTCCACCAACACATGTGGTTGACCATGTGCATACTTTCCCACACTGTTCTCATTTGGTGGTTGATTCGATAGCCTCTTGGAATTGCAGTGTAGGAAAATATGCACATTTGTTGGTGATAATACTCAAATTCTGAGGAAATTCTGGGAAATTCTCGTTGGTTTCTATGCACTTCTACCCGAATTTGTATTCCAACTTCTACAAATAGCGAAAAAACCCCTGAACTCAGCTGAGGAAAGCGAACATGCTGTAATAACGCTACTCCGCGACGCGAAGTCCGCGCCGCCACTGGCAATGCGATTACGAGTTGATTGTTGTACACACTATAACCCCTTTTTCAATCCGAAACTCACCGAATGAGAGGAGAAATTCGAAAAATGGAAACTGATTCTCGTGAAATAAAGGACGTTTTTCACATCATTTGAGATTAAAAAGACCTAATATTTATGTATTTCTCCAGATAACGACTCACCGAGATGAGAGCGGCAACTTTCCGATGAACATTTCACTTTTGAAAGAGACTATAGTTGAAGACAGGTATAGAAGATTAAAGTGTTTGTTGAAAACCCGTTGTTGTAGACGACTCGGTTTCCTGCCAATTCTGTGCGTCGCTAATTACGGCGCTACGAATACTTGTGCGGTTGACCCTGTGCACGAGTTGGGAGATCTGTAAGGAAGCTGGAGTGTTCGATAGGAAATTTTGCTATTCGGTGATTCAGCTGTCGGCGAGAAGGAATAATGTTGCATATGGATGCGGCATACAGTGGGAGCGCTCTCATGCTCGAGGCATTCAGAGATGATGCTCTCGTGATTCGAACAGTAAGAAGTATATACAGTGGAGTTTCACCCGTGATATGAAAAACACTAATGAAAAACATACTTCACGACTACTGCATACCGTGGCTTTCGCGTTTTTCACCAAGTTTTACGCCACTTCACGTAAAGCGGGCAAAACTCCAGTGCGTATCAATTTGATATGCAAATATGTGTTATTTTCGAGATTTGTGAGAATCGATCTGAAACTATATCGCATAAACACTGCGAACATTGCTATGAACATGTGATGTGATAAAAGTAGCCTTTCGAGACTATGATAGCGACAAGTTGCTCACTTGATAGAAAACACACATTCTTCACATATTCATGAGATCAGACTGTATAATCACTACATGATATTGTCCATCCCTCATTCAGAATGTGGATTCCATAAATATCAACGGCTCCAAGTGGCTAGGGACAGGTTTTCACTCAGCGTTCCTGTGGGTTAAGGTGAGCGTGGTATTAGTATTGTCATTGATGTTAAATCGTAGGATCGACGTTATTTTACGAAGACATTCGGAGCTGAAGATGAGAGTGAAGGCGCGAGCCTATCTAATTGGTAGGATATTTTTATAGTGTCACACTGTGTGCCAATTTGATATGCAAATGTGCAGAATGTGCGTTTTTCATTCCGGGGTAGTGGACAACTTGTCGCCATCATAGTCTCGAAAGGTTACTTTGATAACATCACATGTTCATAGCAATGTTAACATTGTTTATGCGATATAGTTTCAGATCGATTCTTATTAGTCTCGGAAAATAACAAACATTCGCATATCGAATGGATCACGCACTGTATGTACGTCCTCAACGTCGTGATATGGAAAATCATCAGGTCTTTGCCGACTTACAGCAAATGGAGAGCATTGCGTATTTGGGCAGTGTTGCAATACTTCGGAATTGATAAGCTGCGAGCGAGTATATCCCATGATATAGAATGCGCGCAACGATTGAGGGAAAAGCTGAAGTTTGATGGAACTACTAATGTGAGATGATTATTCCGACATAATTGTTCAAGAGTATGCACGCATAGAGTACGGATGCATTGACAAATCTATGACCCAGTGTGAGAAAATATGCATATGGTTATGTACATGTGTTGGTAACAATATGGGAGTTCTGAAAGAATTTCGAGAAATTCTCCTTGGTTTCTGTACACTTCTACCCGAACTCGTATGTAAACTTCGATAGTTATTGAAGAAACTCCTGAGGTCAGCTGAGGAAAGTGAATATATATTCCCCCAACACCGCTATAGCCAGTCGCATGCCCCTCATAGCCCTACGCAGTGTTGGTTGGGCTCATCATCGATTACATCATAAGTGATAGCGAACAACATTTCGAAGGGGGAGCGATAACATATTATTACACTCATCAAATGTTGCTGAATTTTTCCCTTAAAACTTCTGCATTTGCCGGTTCGCTCTACGCATATTCGACATTCGTTTGAATACGAACACATTCATAAGGAATTTGCACGGTTCTGGGGTGTGAAATTCTGGCGCGCCCTTATATACGAGTCTCTCTCTCTTTTGCTCTCGCTGTTTCCGGTATTGCGACAGACCAACCGCTGACAAGAAGGTGGCTATTTGTAAGGTCGAGCTACTCAGCGCAAGAAGACCGGCACTTCGCTGAGTTTTTCCCCACGGGAAGCTCAGTTCAGGCGCAGGTCTTCAATCCGTCTCACTCATAAAACTCTTAAAAAGTGTATATAAATATAAAACCGTTTTGCTCTAGTGTATGGTAGCTCATCTCTATATCTAAGTCTTGTTGAAGTTTCAGCTCGAAACACTACTTGGTTGGCATGAAATGCTGAATTTTCTGATTTGCCTAAGAAAAAATACGCTCCTTAGAGTTTATCTTCTTTATAGGGTCAATTGGACTTGACCATCACTAACCGTTTCGGACTTGTGTGTTTCACGGCCGTTCCTCATTCTCTCAATTCGAGGATACTGAAGGAGGCGGAAAAGGACGGATTCTTGATGTGAACGGCAGAGTTACCCGATTTGAATTGAACATTTGGAATTTCAGTTACCCCTCTAAACTGGTTGATGGCACACCGATTATTAGAGTGGCGTTTGGTAGCCCCTTCACTACATTCAGTGATGTGGACTTGTTATTTTCGAGCATTCAGAAAGCCCTGTGCAGTTCGTGAAAAAGATGGATTTTTTCCTGAAAAATGGAGTCGAGTTTGAGAGTACTCAATTGCCTTCTCTTGTTGCTATGTCTCGCATGCTTCATTATTGGTTCATCGAGTGTTCATGATGTACTGTTTATCATCAAGACGATCAGTGGCAACGGACTGTTGACTTTCGGTCACCGTTTTTCCTTACGGGGATAAAATGTTGTATCTAAACCGTTCTGGCATGAGTATTGTTTTGAACCATCGGGTTGGAGTAGTTAGACTCAACATCGACTGCCAGCCCCGGTATCCATCACGGACTTATCTATAGATTGCGTGAGCCACGCTGATGGGTCGGAGAGCACACCCAGCAGATGCCGTCACAATCCTTTGTTGTGGTGGAATCATGATGGGATGGAGACAACACAATCGTGCGCGTATTAAGATGAATAAAAATCAAATCGATTCAATTGGGATCCCCGGGTTTCATCCATTTTGATGGAAGCATGCTGCACCGGGGGTCGACGCGCCAGAATTTTTACCTTCCAAAGGGGGAATCGTTGTAGCTTGTCACAAGCTGCTTGTGTTATCTTCCATATGTTGCGCGTGTTGGATCTTGATCTTCGCACTAATTTCCCGAGAGAGATGCTATCTCTCTAGTGGGGTTGTCTAAGAGGAAAGGTCTCACCATTGCTAACGAGGACTAGGAGACCAAATGGATTTATGCACCTCGAGGGGTGACATCTGGCTGCGAGTTCGTGTCCATGTGAGGTATGGGTGTCTTACCATAGCTTAGCAATGAATTGTAGATGCTAGTGAAATTCCCAGATCTACTCGCACCGCAGCACTCAGATGGATATTTGGTTATGCGTTATGCGAATGAATTTGGTTTTACTCACGGATTAGTGATTGGCTGCTGCCAGCTGACAGCTGAGACGCCAGCTGATATAATATTGATACCTGTTATCACGGCTGGCAACATTCCGGAGGCACAACTACTGGAAGCTTTTGGAGCTCTAGGCTGGACGGCTCTCGGAGGCAATGCGATACAATGCCTGCCATTCAACAATGAGTAACTCCTACAATGTATAACGTTTCCTTCGTCAAGACTTCCGGGATCGGATGCGCTAGTAGGCGGTGCCGTGGTGGTAATGAATAGTTTATTCAGCTTCCCGTGGCGTGGTAATGCGGCCACCAATAACGTTAATCCGTTGTGTAATAACCCTGTCTTCGCTAGCAGGCTTAACGCTGCACGCTGCTCGTCAGTGTGCAGCGTGTTCAGAGCCTGAACTTCAGACTGAATAGTCAAATTCAAGAATTTCTGGACCAGAACTGACCGAACAGTTCAGTCATTCCTGAAATTTGTCTGAGGAGCAGTCTGACTGTTAGACTCTGACACAGCCGGTGTCTTAGACAATGTCTCCTAGACTAGGAGACATTGTTACCAGCATTCACTGAGGCTAGTTGCGACGATTCCACATCACTGGCAATGCCAGTCTGGCATGTTTCGCCTACTACTTTGGTTAGACTCAACAGCCATACTTTCACAAACCAAAGCCTTCCGGCACGGCGTATGTCCTTTGAAGCCTAAAGGAGAAGCGGGAGACGCCGGGGGCATAGCGAGAACGAGGTTCAGAAGCTGGAGCTATTTCTCGGAGAAATTTTCTCCCACTTTTCTCCCTCTTTTCTCTCTTCCCTCTCTCTTATTCTTCCTTTTCCGGGAAAAGTTTTCCCTCTCCTTTTGCATATCTTTTGCTCCCGAGTCAAAGTCATAACTGACTGCTTCAACTTCGGGAGCAGCTGCGGCTCTCTGTTACTGCGCGCGGGCACTGGCAGTGCCGCACTGCCGGAATAGGACTGAACCAGGCCTTCGCGTATGTGGCTATTATTAACATTGAAGACGATGAGTCTCTTCACAGCTATAGACAAGGCGACTCGGTTCCGGTCCACCTGCCAGACAACATCGTGCTTAACCGCACTCAATCTCGTAATGGTGAGTGGATTGGACAGCCGTAACCAGTTCCAACATCTAACTGGGTTGGTTCTCCTACTCTAGGAGTAAGTTCATCGCCTGGCAGGCGGAACTCGGGCTAAGAGTATTTGACGCTGGGAAGTTCGATTACGGAGCTCTAGGCGGCATGGACGATATATGCGGCGAGGTGACCAGAGCTAGTTATCTCGACCAGTTAGCCGACGAACTTGACTGGGACGCAATTTTTGTTGGCGCTGGGCATAGGCTTCGTAAGTTACGGGCGGGTTACGATTCGTAACCCGCCAGTGAATCCAGTGAATCCAGTGAATCCAATGAATCCAGTGAAGAGTGAAGGCCAGATTCAAAAAGGTGAATCAGTCAATCCTACATGTATAATGTGCCGGACACGCTTTGAATTCGGTGTGCCGCCTGTCCACCGAGAACGTGGAAGCCTGCTTGTCAAGCCTCGAGCTTGCTGGTGGTATCGCTCGGTA